GACAAAGATATAAATTGGCGCGAGCATGCCAAAACACTAGCCCTGCAGTTGGTTTTGCGTAAAAATGCGATTTGACGAGGCTCGGGCAGGTCGAAGTTACAGCGAAAAAGTCGCAGTCGACGGTGCTGCCACCTACATTGCCAATAACGGGCACTATCATATCGTGATAATTGGGGTAGTTTCAAATGAGAAATGACTTCTATTTTTGTTCAAACTGCTTAAGAAGAAATAAAACTTTTCGGAAACACACATTTTTCCCAAATATCGCGTTCCATTTTTTCCTGTTGAGTTGTTAGGAAAGTGGTAAATTTCAAGGTTGACGGCTAAAAAACGAAACAGGAGGAACAGAGCAGGAATCACCAAGACGTGTGCCGCGCCGATGCTGTAGCCTGTAGATAAGGGGTGAGCAACAGAACCAGCATACCTAACGATTTTGATTACTGATAGATATTTTTCTCTAAATGGAAGACTATTAGTAACTCAGGCAAGCCTTCTAATACCTATAGGTATCGACAGGGTTGCGGTAAAAGATACAATCGATGGCACATTACAATTATTCTGAGTTGGGTAACAACACTCTTCAGATACCTACCATCAACAACCTCACTATCTCCTATATGGGAGCTATATCATCTGATTCCAGCGCCCTGAAAACAAACAGGTTATTACCAAAAATCTCTATATTAGCGCCTACCGACATACGCTGAGTGTAGCCGTGCGGCTCTGGAGGTCCCTCACGGCGGCCGCCAGGGCCGCCACCTCTCCGTCGTCGCGGACGTCTTCCGGGTTCAGGAAAATCGTTCCGTACATCCGGAGACGTCAGCCCATGAGGGCCGGGCACCGGAAGAAGAAGTGCCGGGGCGTGTGGCCTCCTCCCGGCACACGGTGCACCGGCCCGCCGCACAGTCGGTGTCAGGGCACTGGCGGCAATCATCGGAAGGGTTCCGTCCAATCCGGTGAAGGTATTGGCGGGATCCTGACCAGTGGCCCGCGCGGAGTTGATGGACGTCGACGGCCGACGATCTTTCCCCCGTCGCGGCCGGCGGCGGCAGCCGGTTCTCCATCAGGGTCCGGTACCAGCCCTCCGGCCAGGCGGCGATGGTGCGGTCGCGGGCCAGTCTGGCGGCCGCGCGGTGGGCGGTAGCGACGTCCGCCGGGACCGCCGCCTGGGGGAGCGCGGTCGCCTCCTTGGCGATCTGGTCGGCGCGCTCGTTTTCGTCGACGCCGCAATGGGACGGCACCCACTGTAGGTGGATCCGGCGGGACGGACCGGCCAGGGCCGCTAGTTCGGTCCAGATGGCGGCTCCTAGCAGGGTCTTCTGGGACGCCGGGCCCTCTCTCAGCGTCGCGAGGGCCGACTGCGAATCCGAGCAGATGGTGATCGGCGCGCTCGGCTGGTGCGGGTGGTCGCGCAGGTGGTTCAGGGCCGCGCGGAGTGTGACCATCTCCGCCCTGAAGCTCGAGCAGTTGACCGGCAGGGACGCGTAGCTCGTCGGTTGCACCGTCCGGCCACTCCACAAAGGCTCCTGCTCCTCCGCTGCGGACTCCCGCATCCGCCGACCCATCCGTCCAAACCCAGATGGCTTGCTGGGGGAGGGATGCTAGGTGTCTCTGCGCCGCCTGGTGCAGTTCGTCAGGTGGGGCGTCCCGCCGCAACGCTCCGATGTCCAGGGAGAATGTGACGTGTGGGCAGGCGGCCACCTCCCACGGCGGCGCGCGGGCGGGCAGCAGGGGCTCGATCCAGGCTCATGTCACTCCACTTTTGATGACATCATAAGGGGGCCTCAGGACAATAATGGCGCGGCGCGCCACAATCGCTTCAAAGCTACTTGCCAACAGTTGCCATTTTTGAAAATATTATTTTGAAATAAAGTTCCAAGTAATAAAAATATTGTAATAAAGTTGTTGTATAAATCGATACCATATCTAAAAACTTACTGAAAAATGATTTATTCATAGTAAAAATATAAGCTCGATGCGTTTTTACGTTGCTTTCCTGCAACTGCAGAGGGTTTTTAAATCGTCTATATCTTCAAAACCGGCCATTTCTTAGCATACTGCTGCTCTTTTTTATCGCTAGAAAATTAGTTGGACTTTCTAATGACATCAATCGTTGAGCAATATATGTAGAGTGTCACCAACAATCTTCAAATGAAGTTAGTCATTTTTACGTTGTAAAGGAATGGAGTATCCCTTTTGAGCATCAGGGGTGACGTCACTCAGGATCTGTCTCTGATTGGTCGGCGGGGGAGTGACTGTACCTTCTATAGATGGCCTTGGCTCGATCGTGAGCACGATCCCAGCAGCCCGCCAGGTGTCGTGCCCCAACCCGCCCCATCTGAGCTCGTGCGGAACCCTCGTTCAGATACGTAATATCGCTATCTGCCACCTCGCGGTTCCCTTGTCAAGCCGAACTCATAGGCGGCGGAACGGGGAGGGCACCACGGCACCGTGCCCCCTTTGATTTTGGCATTTTAACATTAGCCCTATGGATTGGGCGTTGCATGGAATGAATGGGACCAAAAGTCGGCAGTGCCCCCCTTAATTGAAGGTATTCCGCCGCTACTGGCCGAACTGATGACACGCAATGGCCAGTCAGTCACAGCTCAGCTTCCTGCGGAACACAGGAAGACACATTCAGTGAGAGTCGGTGGTCATTGATTGTGTCAATATTATTGACATGGTGACTAAAGAACGGTTATATTGCGCCAATACTGTTGCCAGTAGCAGCACCACCAATCTTTTGAACTAAAACCACTTGACATCGGTAAAAAGAAACCCTCTAGCTTTTTTCAAGCAATCCGTGAAATAGAGGGGATTAGAAAAAACCGAAAATCCAAATATTAGCACTAGATAACATAGATCTTAAATTTTGGCCAACATTTTTAAAGCATAGGTACATCAGAGGAGCTGTTGGCGGCTTACCGTCGCGTCTGTGATGATCTCTGAGTCATGTCGCATCGTCCGTTTTGTTACGCCCGGTAGTTCAGCGGTGAGTCGCTGGCAATCTGGCTCACTGATTCAACCCCTCCGACGCCGGCGGGCTGTGTGGCGAATCACCTTTTACAAATGTTGGGTATTGATAGCGTCATTCAGCATATGTCGGTAGGCGCTAATACAGAGATTTTTGATGATAACCTGTTTGTTTTCAGGGCGCTGGAATCAGATGAAATAGCTCCCATATAGGAGATAGTGAGGTTGTTGATGGTAGGTATCTGAAGAGTGTTGTTTCCCAACTCAGAATAATTGTAATGTGCCATCGATTGTACCTTTTACCGCAACCCTGTCGATACCTATATTAGAAGGCTTGCCTGAGTTACTAATAGTCTTTCATTTAGAGAAAAATATCTATCACTAATCAAAATCGTTAGGTATGCTGGTTCTGTTGCTCACCCCTTATCTACAGGCTACAGCATCGGCGCGGCGCACGTCTTGGTGATTCCTGCTCTGTTCCTCCTGTTTCGTTTTTTAGCCGTCAACCTTGAAATTTACCACTTTCCTAACAACTCAACAGGAAAAAATGGAACGCGATATTTGGGAAAAATGTATGTTTCCGAATTGTTTTATTTCTTCTTAAGCAGTTTGAACAAAAATAGAAGTCATTTCTCATTTGAAACTACCCCAATTATAACGATATGATAATGCCCGTTATTGGCAATGTAGGTGGCAGCACCGTCGACTGCGACTTTTTCGCTGTAACTTCGACCTGCCGAGCCTCGTCAAATCGCATTTTTACGCAAAACCAACTGCAGGGCTAGTGTTTTGGCATGCTCCCGCCAATTTATATCTTTGTCTAACGCGAATCTGTGAGAAAAACCCCTCTGTCGACACACCCTACTGAAGACTCCTTCCAGGCTCCAAAATTTGATTGTCATAATTTTTTATTATTTTTATGAATGAATGAATGCAATGAATGAATTTCAGCTTTACATGTGGTGTGTATGGCTTCCAGCCAGCAGGAAATGCAGTTCAAAATGAGCTATAGTTGACTTCGTCCAGACCCCATTACACTTCCATAACATATCATGAGTCACGAAGAGAGAGAGCAACATTATTCATTATTACAAAATATCCAGGCATGAATGTATTTACTATCAATGCATATGTCAGGACTGAGGACAGATAACATTAGATGGTCAGTCAAACACATGGTACCACACGTATCAAGAGTCTACTGTTATTCATCGAAAATAAGCATTTCCATGAACATCCTGATAAATTGCTTGGCAGACCCAATATTAATAAGCAGGTACTTGTGTTCATGACATAGGTCGTTGCAAAATCATTACCAAACTGCAATAGCACTCCCTGTTTTCTCTTGCTTTTTCCATTTCAACTTGGATCTTGACTTACAATCATCTCTCAAATACCTGTTTATCACACTTTTCAATCCATATGCTGATGAAAACAGAAAATAAAAGAACCAACGCTCACTCCCTCCTCATCTTCTGATATCTCAATCTCATCACATTTTCCACCAATCTTCTCAGTGTGTCAATATCAAAAAAGTAATCTCTTCGTAATTGTGAGTTGTCTCTTCCTGTCGAAAACAAAAATAAATACCTAATAAACGCAAACTTGTTGGCAGCCAGCCAGCCCAAACAAATATCAACCACCGAATATACCAATGCGCAAATACAACTTGATTTAGTAGCCGTGCGATAATTCAGTTCGTATATAGCGCGCAACCACTGTCTCATTATTGTCCCCTACCAACCTCTAGACGCACCCAGGTTTTGCCCCTTTTGGTCGCTAAAACACGTGCTTATTCGGAAAACATACTTTGAGCCAGAGTTCTTAAAAAAAGAAAGTATAGCCAGTCCACCAATCTTATTTCGAGGTCTTCAGTCGGTGAAACCGAGTCAGAGACTCGCGGCGCCGCTCCTAGCCTCAGCTCTATTGTAGGCGATACAAGTCGTTTTTTTACCTCTGTCGGGCACCCGGGGACCGTGCAAAAGGAAAAGTCGGCCCAACAGGTAAAGTGGGCTCAGCTGGTGCGCGCCACTCGGTCCGTGTGGCGCGGCGGTGAGTTGAGCACCAGCCGCGGACCGGGGCGGACCACTGCCAGCAGCTGAGCATGGCTAGCACCTGGAGCACTGCGGTGAGTTGCGGTGCAGCCTCTGCCGGACACGGCCGACCGCCGGATCAGCCGGAACACGGACGGCCGCCGCTTTATAGGGACACGGAGCAGCAGGGCTTAAACGGCGCACCGCTGCACTGGGGGTCCTGGATTTTCACGACCTGCTGGAGAGATGGGGCTGGACACCCCCCATCTCTCGGCTCCCGGGCCAAGAAGCAGCGTCAACTTATAGCTCATTCGACGCGTCTTGACGAGAGGAATACGATGCTGACACAATAAATGTCGTGCCTTTCTTGCGTCAAAATTCATTACAGAAACTTTTTTTAAACTGCCGTTTATTTTAGTTTGTGCCCTCTGGAGGCTAAACCTTTGCTCTATGGTCAGATCTGAGAGCTTACTTCAGAAAGAGCGTTAAAAAGAAGAGCGGAAAAACGTTAAAAAGATAGAACGTAGAGCGCATTCGAAAGAGCGTTCGAATGCGCTTTTCTATGCCTTTCTAAGCTATGCGCAGGTGTCGAAAGTGATCGAAGTTTGGCCTGGAAAGTGGGAAAATCTTATTTCCGGTTATGTCTGGTGCCCTGACCTAACCTTACCCTAAAAGGGACCAATAATTTCTTCAATATTTTTGACGCCGTTTCAAAGGCTGCCTGCTGGTGTCGTTACATGGCCCAGATGCCTAGCGGGGTGCCGTTTAAAGGGACACGAAGCTTCGCAATTAATAGGGATATGGGGTACCGCATTGTGCAAGGCGGGCTATATGCACATTTACCCATCGAAAAATACGCTGTATTTCCAGACGAGCCGACGTAGGTATTCATTTCTTGCATATAGAGGTCTCGCGGGTTTTAGCGGTAGGTTTTGCATCTAGAAAATTTGGTGTACTTCATGCTCTATAGTCGTCGTCTTAAGCTTTTAAGTGTTGAAGACGCGATCGAACTTGTTGGGTAACAAGCCGGCCATGATCGTGTAAAATAGCTTCATCGTAGATCGATTAGTTTCTGAGATATAATCGGAAATGTAAGCAAAACCTACCGCTTCATCTCGCGAGAGCCGTACATATGCTCCGACATTGTCTCCAACCCGACTTTGTCCACCCGATTTCAGATGTTCAGTTGCAGTGTAGTAAATGTCTTACATATAGTGCCTTTCCGGTTTACCCTCGCCTATATTGGTGTTTTGCCAGCCCCAAATGTATAGGGGAGGGGGGGGGGGGTCCAACATCCCTCTTGCCGTTCGGCCCCAGATCGAGCTAGAGCCTCGCGAAAAAAAACAACTATGTTACCCGTGACGAGAGGAGGCCGATGATACCCAACTTTAAGGTCCTGAGTCATTGGTTGACCTGCCAGGTCAGGTAAAGGACCCAAAAGTTGGGAAAATCGGGACCTGTCAGAACTTCGTAATGTGAAGCTGTTAAGAGGTTTTTCGGGGTACTGATCATCACGAATTCCATGTTAGTTTTGATCACAGATGTTGTCTTCATGCATTTCGGCCAGGTCGGTTCAGGTCAGCTCCGGTCACTGACCCCGTTTCCATGGGCATCACTGATCCGGATCAGTGCCTCGTAAGGGCTTAGGCTGCCCATGGAAACACCCGTAATTCCTTACCGCTGATCCGGATTCTAATCAAGTTTCGAAAGAAGCTGAGCCGTTACGATAGGGATTCATGTTGGACTTTTTATTTTTCTTATTTTCATTTTGATTGCCTTAGCCCTCGCCGGCACAGGCCATTTTGCGTCCTTCGACGGCACAGGGGGGGGGGGGGGTACGACCCCCCCTCGCGTTTGGCCCCTGATCGAGCTAGAGCTTCGCGGAAAAAACGAGCGTGTTGCCCGTCACAAGAGGAAGCCGATGATACCCAATTTTAACCCGGCAGTTGCTGGGGTATTTCGCCACCCACCGTTTGCTGGGGGGGGGGGGGCGTTAAACGCCCCCAGCCGATAACTCGAGAACCAATAGGCGCAGCGAAACGCACGAGGCGGCAAACGAAAGAGCGCGACGAGACGCTTCAGATGAGTACTTTAAAGTTGAATTTTGAGGTCATAGGTCAGGTCAAGGTCAGGTCAAACACCGGAAATCGGGCTTTCAGTAGCATGGACTTCAGGACTTCGCAGTGGGCGCCTCTCGTCACAGACTCTGTCAAAACGGTGCACAATCCATCATATAAGGCCTACAAGAGTGTCAGCTCCATGTAGGGGTCAGTCAAGCATAGGTCAGGGTCAAGGTCAGGTCAACCGGGCAGGCACATATCCCCGAAAATCAAAACTGATATTCGCAACCCATGTGACACATGTTTTATGGGTAATTTGGGGCGTAGAACACGATGGTGACATTCATTTTATCATATGTCTACGTGTTTGGCTAAAAAAGTTCAATTTAGGAAATGCATGTATCATGGTCGTGAAGTAGTCACGAGAAACTGCCAAGATTCAGTTCAAGATTTTGGAAAATGCGGAGCGATAATCAATAATCGAAGATAGCCATTTGATGGTTCATGGTATTGGCAGTCTAATGGCGTTTACGGCATGTCTGTATGTCTATTATGTGATTTGATATGATTTTTTGAACATATGCCGTTTTTGGTCGAAAACTGAGAAATCATGACGTCATTAAAACCTCGCTATCTCAAAAATTTTCCGACCGATTTTTTTGAAACTTTGTCACAATACACTTCAATCAATTCCCTACAGGTCCTCAAAATTTGGCGCGCCTGCGGCGCGCCGTTTTTATGCTATGGCCCGGCGAAAAAAGTGGGGGCGTTTAACGCCCCCCCCCCAGCAACTCGCGGGTTAAGGTCCTAGGTCATCGGGTGACCTTCCAGGTCATGTCAATGACCCGTAAACCGGAAAAATCGGGACCTGTTAGAAAGTCGTAAAGTGTGGCTGCTATGTGGTTTTCCGGGGTGCTGATCACGAATATCGCGTTAGTTTTGATCAGAGATGGTGTCTTTAAGCATTTAGACCGGGTCGGGTCAGGTCAGGTCAGGTCAACCGGTAGGGGCTGTGACGGGTATTCGTAATACGTGTCAACCGCCTCTGACAGCTTCGTAACATGTTACGAAGGCACCAAAGCTACTTCGTAAATGTTCAAATGGTTGCTAAATTCGAATGCAGCTCCAAAAACTAGCCTAGAAACATGTCAAACTCGAAAAAGTGAACCGAGGTCAACCGAGGTCACCAAAGGTCAATGACCTGACCTGACCTTCAGGTGACCTTGACACCCACCCTAATGTATGGGAGCAACATCAAATCACATGTTTGAACGTTTGAAACCACGAAAAGCTTGCAAACGCGCGGCTAATGCGAGCCGACATACGCCGAATCACGATTCCGGTCAAACATGGTCTCGGAAAAGAGGTCACAGGTCAAAGGTCATTTGGGTCAGGGTCATGAAATTTTCAGGGTAGGTGTAAAATTGATCAATGCGAGGGTACTGAAAGTTTCGTTGCGATCGGCCGCTTCTAACGCGAGTTATTTGCGAAAAACCTTAGAGGGGGGTTGCATCAACCCCCCTGGCAAGGGCAAGGTCCTGGCAAGGTCCAAGAGCTAACAAATTTTGTCGACGTTAATAAAATCACAATTCTCGCACTCACTGAAACTAAATTGGACGACTCAATTAACCCGAACCGTTATACTATTGACAATTTTCATCCACCCATTACAAGATACAGAGACAGACACGGAGGAGGCACGGCAGTATACATTCACAGCTCACTCACATTCTCCAGAATTTCCTCACTCGAATTGCCTGGTGAAGAATGGATTTGGATAAAAATAAAAACAAATGACTACATTTCTACTGTGCTCAATCTATCTCCCACCCAATATTCCAGCACATCGACGAGAAGAGTTTATAGACAGACTAACCGACAGTGTGACTCGTGCACATCTCTACTCCCCAAATGTATTATTGACAGGCGACTTAAATGTTGGCAACCTATTCCTCCCTCCAGATACCTATCAACATAGTGGACTGACAGCTTTCGACCGAAAATTAAGAGACACAACTGACACCATTGGACTAACGCAACTCATCGACCAACCTACTCGTATTGAAAATGACACACACAACCTACGAGACCTCTTCTTCACATCCAATACTAAATTTATCATTGATAGCGGACTTCTCTCTTCACTTTCAACACTTGACCACTTTCCTGTATTTGTGACGCTATCAATCCAGGGAGAAAGGAATGATGACAATTATGTAACCGATTACTGGGACTATGCAAATACAGACGCCGATAAATTAAAACACATTTTACAACAAACAGACTGGACATCTATTCTTAACAAGGACAGTGATGACGCAGCGACTGACTTTACTAACCGTACAATTGACGCAGCCAGAGAGTGCATACCGATAAAACAAAGCAAACCAAGACATGACAATCCTTGGGTGACACCAGAACTTCTGAAGGAAATTAGGAAACGTGAACGTTTATTTAATGCTGCCCGAAAACGAAAAACCGATAAACAAGCGTGGGCAAAATGGAAAACCCAACGCAACTTCGTGACAAATTTGAATAGACAGCTTTACGACGAACATGTAAACAATAATGTTTCACTTCTACTTCAGAACAAACACGACCCTCACAAATATCATAAAATTTTAAGAGACATAACAGGTCATAAACAAAACCATTCCATACCGACACTTATACAACACGACGGCACAACAGCGACAACTGACACTGACAAAGCCACCATGCTGAATACATACTTTGCCTCACAAGCACAACTTGACATCACAATGACGCACATATTGCACAACTTCAAACATACACAGCAAGAAACACTGAACAAGTACCCACTCTCAGCAGCATTGAGGAGTCCTTCGAACCCTGAATAGCTTAGACGCTAATAAAGCTTGTGGTTCAGACAGATTACCTACGAAAATTTTAAAAATGACAGCATTACTGATTGACGAACCTTTGACGCAACTTTTTAACAAATCTCTCACTACCGGAATATACCCCACATCTTGGAAAAAGGCCAAAGTTGGACCAATATTTAAGCGTTAAGG